CCCTGACTTTGCTTTGAAAGTACAAAGAACTACTTAAACTAGGGCTGGGCAAGCTACAGCCCAGCAGCCAAATCTGGCCCACCACCTGATTGTTTATGACCCACAAGCTATGAATGGTTTTCACATTTAGAAGTAGAAAATAATTCAAAAGAAGATGAATATTTAGTGACATGAAAATTATATGAAATTCAAAGGTCAGTGTCCATAAATAAATTTTTGCTGAAATACATCCATGCTCATTTGTTTATGTATTTTCTATAGCTGCTTTCTTGGTACGATAACAGAGCTGAATAGTTGTGACAGAGACCATATGGCCTGCAAAGCTGAAATATTTACTCTCTGGTCCTACGGAGCCCTGGTGGCGCAGTGGTTAAGAGCTCTGCTGCTGACCAAAAGCTTAGCAGTTCAAATCCACCAGCCGCTCCTTGGAAGCCCTATGGGGCAGTTCTACTCTATCTATAGGGTTTCTATGAGTCGCAATCGACTCAACAGTAACAGGTTTGGTTTTTGCTTTTATCTAGCCCTATGTTGAAAAGGTTTGGCAACCCCTTGCAAAGGGTGCTTATTGAATTGAGAATTTTTTAAATTAATTTTTTAAATTCTTGACAAAATGCCTGTCTGATAGTAAGGGCTCAATAAACAGATGTTGCTGTTTTTACTGTTAGTTGGCTTTATTCAACTTTATTCAGTTATTAATTCAGCGAGTAATCACTGAGTGCAAACTATTTGCTAGACACCACTCAAAGGGCTATGGAATCCAGCAATGAACATGTTAGGTGCATCGAGTCAGTTCTGACTCATAGCGACCCTGTGTACAACAGAATGAAACACTGCCTGGTCCTGCGCCGTCCTCACAGTAGTTGCTATGCTTGAGCCTATTGTTGCAGCCACTGTGTCAATCCATCTTGTTGAGAGTCTTTCTCTTTTTTGCTGACCCTCTGCTTTTCAAAGCATGATGTCCTTCTCCTGATAACATGTCCAAAGTACATGAGACAGAGTCTCACCATCCTCACTTCTAAGGAGAAGTCTGGCTGTACTTCTTAAAAGACAGATTTATTTGTTCTTCTGGCTGTCAATGGTATATTCAATATCCTTCACCAACACTGTAATTCAAATGCATCAATTCTTTGGTCTTCCTTATTCATTGTCCCGTCCAGTTTTCACATGCTTATGAGGTAATTGAAAATACCATGGCTTGGGTCAGGCACAACTTGTCCTTAAAGTGACATCTTTGCTTTTTAACACTTTAAAAGAGTTCTTTTGAAGCAGATTTACCCAATGCAATAAGTCATTTGATTTCTTGACTGCTGCTTCCATGGGCAATGGTAGTAGATACAAGCAAAATGAAATCCTTGACAACATCAGTCTTTTCTCCATTTATCATGATGCTGCTTATTGGACTAGTTGTGAGGATTTTTGTTTTCTTTATGTTGAGGTGCAATCCATACTGAAGGCTGTCTTTGATCTTCATCAGTAAGTACTTCAAGTCCTCTTCACTTTCAGCAGGCAAGGTTGTGTCATCTGCATGTTGCAGGTTGTTAATGAGTCTTCCTCCAGTCCTGATGCTGCATTCTTCTTCATATGGTCCAGCTCAGCATACAGACTGAATAAGTATAGTGAAAGTATTCAACCCTGATGCACACCTTTCCTAACTGTAAATCACGCAGTATCTCTGTCAAGGATTGAATTATGTCCCCCAAAAAATATGTATATCAGTTTGGCTGGGCCATGATTCCCGGTACTGTGTGATTTTCCTATATGTTGTAAATCCTGCCTCTATGATGTTAATGAGGGAGGATGGGTGGCAGTTGTGTTAGTAAGGCAGGACTAGATCTACAAGACTGGATTGTGTCCTGAGGCAATCTCTTGAGATAAAAGACAGAAGTGAGCAGAGAGACAGGGGGACCTCATTCCATCAAGAAAGCAGTGCTAGGAGCAGAGTGCATCCTTTGGACCAGGGTCCCTGCACAGAGAACCTCCTAGTCCAGGGGAACACCGAAGAGAAGAAGGCCGACAGAGAGAAAAAGCCTTCCCCTGGAGCTGACGCCCTGAATTTGGACTTTTAGCTTACTTTGACTGTGAGGAAATAAAGTTCTCTTCATTAAAACCATCCACTTGTGCCATTTCTGTTACAGCAGTACTAGATGACTAAGACAATCCCCTTGCTTCTGTTCAAATGACTACCTCTTGGTCTATGTACAGGTTCCCCATTAGGACAATTAAGTATACTGGAATTCCCATTCTTCGCAATGTTGTCCATAGTTTTGAGCAGAGTAATGGCATAACCTGACTTATCCAGATCAGTTTTATCCAGATCAGTCTTGTTGCTCCACTGAGGGTAGATTATAGGAGAGTAAGGGTAAAAGCATGGAGGTAGTTAGGAAGCTATTGCAGTAGTTCCAGTGAAAGGTGATGATGACGTGAACCCAGATGACAGCAGTGGTGAGTAGATATTTTGGATGTATTTGGAAAGTAGAGCCAATAGAATCTAAGGATGGATTGTGAGAAAAAGAAGACTCAAAGATGGCTCCCCTTTTTCTATTCCAAACTACTGCAGGAGTAATGTTGTTCTTGTTGGGTGCCATTGAGTTGTTTTCGACTCTAGAGACCCTATGTGACACAGTAGAATGTCCCCATAGGGTTTTCTTAGCTGTAATCTTTACAAAAGCAGATTGCTAAGTCTTTCTTCCACAGAGCTGCTGATTGGGTTCGAACTGTTATAGCAGCATGAGATAAATAAGACACTAGCTCTAAAGAGAAAGAAAAATTTAAAAAAAAGTTGTCAAGTTGATTCCAATTCACAGTAACCCCATATAATCCTGCCTCAGAGCCCTTGGTAATACAAATAGTTGACACACTCAGCTGCTAACCAAAAGGTTGTAGTTTCAAGTCCACCCAGAGGCACCTCGGAAGAAAGCTCTGGTGAGCTACATCTGAAAAATCAGCTATTGAAAACACTGTGGAGCACAGTTCTATTCTGACACACATGCAGTCGCCTTCAGTCAGAGTCTACTCAGCGGCAACTGGTTAATCTTGCCACAGTTCAATATGTATGTAGATTGTTGTTGTTAGATGCCAACAAGTTGGTTCTAACTCATAGCGACCCTATAGGACAGAGTAGAACTGCCCCGTAGGATTTTTTAGCCTGTAATCTTTATGGGAGCAGACAATCAGGTCTTTCTCCCTCGTAGCTGCTGGTGGGTTCAAAGCACCAACCCGTCATTTAACAGCTGAGCACTCAACTGTTGCGCCACAAGGGCTCCTTATGTATGTAGGTAAACTGCTAAAAAGTAGTAAAGCCATGGATGAGAAGAAAAAAGACCGTAAAGCACGTAAGTATAAATGCTAATCACTATTCCCAGTGCAATAAACTTACTTTTATTTTATTTCATCTTTGAAATTAACAACATTTGATAAAGTACTGAACCCAAGAATGTTTTGGAAAACAACTGTTAACAGTTGTGTCAGGACAAGGCCAAACTTTTGAGAACAGTAGAAATTAATGATGTTGCTATTCCCACTGAACTGAAAATATCTCCAGAACACAAACTGAATAATTACAAGTATGTAAAATAGAAAGAAAAAAAGAAAGAACTGTGGTATCGAAAGGTCGGAAGTGTGGAAAGCCAGTTGTCAGTAGTTTATCGAAAGGGCTCTGCCAGTATATGGAATATATATTGGTATCTAGTCGGAAGGCAACAGGGCAAGATTCGTGGCACATAGTCACCTAGGTTTTATGATAACACGGTTGCCTAATAGTATATTGTTTCATTATGTAACGAAGTGCCTAACAGTATATTGTTTCATTATGTAAGGAAGTCATTAAGGAGATTGTGTAACAATATTAAAAAAAAAAAAAAACCACAACAATTTCAAATACCTGGCCAGAACTCTTCAAGTATCATGAAAGACAAGGAAAGATTGAGGAACTACACAGACTGGAGAAGACTAAAGCTGGACAATGAATAAGGAAGACCAAAGAAGAATTGATGCATTTGAATTGCGGTGTTGGCAAAGAATATTGACTATACTGTGGACTGCCAGAAGAACGAACAAATCTGTCTTGGAAAAAGTACAGCCTGAATGCCCCTTAGAAGCAAGGATGGCAAGACTTTATCTCGCATACTTTGGATATGTTATCAGGAGGGACCAGTCCCTGGAGAAGGACAATATGCTTCGTAAAGTAGAGGGTCAGCAAAAAACAGCAAGACCCTCAGGGAGATGGATTGACACGGTGGCTCCAACAGTGGGCTCAAACGTAGCAACTACTGTGAGGATGGCGCAGGACAGGGCAGTGTTTCGTTCTGTTGTATATACGGTCACTAAGAATCAGAACAACAAAGATACATGACAACTAAATGTAATGTGGGATCCTGAATTGGATCCTGCAACAGGTAAAGGACATTAATGGAAAAACTAGGGAATTCCAAATAAAGTCTGTAGTTTAGTCAGTAGTATTATTGGAAAAAAAATCAACTCGACAGCAAATAAAAACACCACTTGCTGTCAAGTTGATTCCAACTCATGGCGACCCCATATGTTTCAGAGTAGAACTGCACTCTGTAAGGTTTTCAGTGGCTATGATCTTTCAGAAGTAAATCACCGGGACTTCCTTCTGAGGCACCTCTGGGTGAATTTGAACCTCCAACCTTTTAGTTAGTAGCTGAGCACCACCCAGGGACGCCAATCAAATTATACCAATGTTAATTTCTTCATTTTAGTAATTGCTTCATGATTCTATAAGATGTAAACATTAGGAGAAGCTGAGTGAAGGGCAGACAGGAACTCTCTACTATATTTGCAACTCTTCCATAAGTCTAAAATTATTTCCAAATAAAAAGTAAAAGAAAACAACATCGGTTTCTGGTAGCTCCTGCCTAACAGAAGCACGCTTGACTGGTGGTGGCATTGCTGAGGAGTGCTGTGAGTGTGGAGCGTAGATTTGTAACATAAGTAGCTTTGAAATCTCTTATCTTTGTCTCCTTTCAATTCTACTGCAGGGTGTGTTGGGTGCATCATGTAACCGGGATGTGGGTGTACCCTTTCCTGGAACACATTGGCCCAGGGGCCAGAATCATCTTCTTTGGGTCTACAACCATCTTAATGAACTTTTTGTACCTGCTGGGAGAAGTTCTGAACAACTACATCTGGGATACACAGAAAAGTAAGTATTGTTTAGGGGAGCACAGAAGAATTGCTGCCTGAAACAACCTGTGCAGAGACTGAGGGAAGATTCCATTGTCGTCTCTTCTTTTATCCTTAAAACAGGATCACTTATGGAGAGTTTCATTTTTATAACAACAACATTAATTTAAGAGCGGCTGGCAGTTACCTGAAAGGTTTACTACTTGGTTAGTCTTATTAGCTAGTAAAACACTCAAATCTAGGAGCAAAGAAGCGTGTCTATAAAATTGTATAGGGAGAAATGCAGTGTTCACAGAAAAAAATATTCAGCAAGTATTTACTGGTTAACAAAATGCTGCCTTACTTAGCTAAAGGAGCTCCTAAATTAAACAGAGAAATTACTGAATGAAAGCAAGCGATCTTATTAAAGTCACCCGGATGTCCACTTCTTATGTCATCATTTGGGTGGGTGCAGGAACCTCAGAGAAGCCTCCCCACCATTCTGCTTGAACTCTAAGCAGCACAGAGTGCCTCCAGCCACTGTGACTCGCCACCAGTGGCTGTCATATTGAAGGTTTGAGGGTGGCAAAGAGGCACAGGCAGTAAAGAGTGATACTTCATTGCTGCAAAAAAAAAAAAAAACTCTCTTAACCTATGATTTGATTTCTCTTTTGTTTCTATTTACGGCAGAGCCTCCATCTTGGCAAGGCACGTAATCTTATCCAAGCTGTGCAAAACCTGTCCACAGTGTATGTGAGATCAGCTAGAAACTGGAAGGTGGAAAAAGCTGCAGCACAGACATATAGTGATTTGAGTCCTGCATGAAAATCCATCCAAGGGCAAGATGATTGGGGGAGTTTTAGAGAGATCTGGGCTTCGCTACCACCATGGTCACAGTACTCTAGACATCCTCAGTAAATGCAACCAGTTTGTTGCACAAACATTGAGCACCCACTGTGTGTCAGACACTGCACCAGGAAGTGGTTCTAATCAAATAAAGCACAATCATTGCATAGTCATTAGTCAGACTTTTTGTGATGGCTCTTCTAAGAGTGCGCGCGTCGAGGGGTTAGCCAATGCTGAGTGGCCCAGAGGACTCTGACAGTTTCTTTTCTCAGCAGCTTGGCTGAGTTTAGTAAGGAGTCTATTAGAAAAAGTGTCAATTTTTTAGACTCAGTTCAGATCACGCCTTGGGGGACCAGAAATTAATCTTTTAACAATTATCCTTTCTGGTCAATGGGAATAGTAATCTTTATTAGTTAACTTATAGAAGTATTTAGTTAACGTACAGAAAAATTTTGAGAATAAAATGTGAACCTTTTTCAGCTTCTTGGGAGAAACGCCATATTGAAATGTAAGCTATTATGTCCCACATATGTTACTCAGGAGGTATTTATGACTGCCTGTTTCTCCTCAATTTGCTTGATTCTGAAAGCTATTTGGCCATTTTCCCACTATTTCTCTAGGAACATGGCCTGAAAACCAGGAGAGGTAAAAATCCAATGTAGATTTATGTAATACTCCTGTTTAGCAGCTTTGAATGAGGAATTAAAAATGAATACTAAAACCAGGGTTTTTTGAATGATCTGTTCAATTTAGTTCTCTATGCTGTTCTCTCAAGTAATGAGTTAAAGTTGACTAGCACTTTGTAACTCATTTCAGGTACAGACATTAATTTTATTTACATGGGACCATCTAGTTAATTGCACAGAGGCAGATGTTTTACATCAAGTAGGTATCATCCTCACTTACAACAGGGGTTACAAACTGATGGCCTCCCTCCAAATTTTACAAGAAGTTTTGTACAGCCGGAGTGCTCATTAGAAACGAGGATGGCAAGACTTCGTTTTACATACTTTGGACATGTTATCAGGAGGGACTAGTCCCTGGAGAAGGACATCATGCTTGGTAGAGTAGAGGGTCAACAAAAAAGAGGAAGACCCTCAATATGATGGATTAACACAGTGGCTACAACAATGGGCTCAAGCATAACAACAATTGTGAGAATGGCTCAGGACTAGGCAGTATTTCGTTCTGTTGTGTGTGGGGTTGCTGTGAGTCGGAACTGACTCGACAGCAGCTAACAACCTCACAACAACATCAAGGAATTTTTATTTTTAAGCCAACATTTAAAAATTGGAAGATTTCACATAAGACTAGGTTTCCAGCTTCTTATTAAATATTTTAAATCTGGCAACACCAAACCAACTATTCCCTTCTGGCAACAATGGATTGGAATTGTGTTTCAGTTGCCCCCTTAGATGGCTCTCTAATTTCCGCTAGTTCTCACCTGGCCATTTTACACAGTCACATTAGCTGTCTGATTCTGTTGGCAGCTAAGTTTGAAACTGCTAATTAAAAGCAGTGTGTGTCACGTGTCATGGGTGTGTGTGTGTGTGTGTGTGTGTGTGTGTGAAAGAATTGAGAATTTAGTACAGTTTTACAGTCCTGACTATTTCAACATTTATTATACCCCAAACAATATCTCCCAGGGAGGAAGACCACATTCGAGCCACTTCCTTGTATTCATATACTGACTCAATTCCTTGCATTTGGTTGTGGTATGTTAGCTTCAACTTCAAGATAAAATCACACCATTAAAGACTCGTAGAACTGAAGAGGAGATTCGAAATCATATAAGCCTTTTACTAAGATGCAGCTGAAGCCCAGAAATCTTAAATGACCCACCAGAATAGGTGGTGGCAGAGCCAACAGCTTCCGACTAACATTCAGTCCAGTGTTTGTTTTAGTGAACCATCAGAAGGCTGCCAAATGTGTGGAAACCTGGACACGTGAGAGCTCAGAAACTTCTCTCCAAACTATTGACCTGACTTATAGAATCATGAAGTGGGCCAACCTGATATGAAATATGAATGAAAAGCCCTTAAACTAGCCTCAAAATTAGTAGTTAAGGATTTGCCCATTTTAAAAGAAAGTAATTCAAGGTGGCGTTGTTGAAATTTTTTGGTGTGATGAAGTATTTCTGTACTTAAGATGAGAAAAATCTCCCTGTATCCCAACCCCAGTGTATCTGAGGTGACCAGGTGTAGTAAAATCAAACGTTGTGAGACCAGAAATGAGAATGTCCAAAAGCTGAAGTTTGGCATTAGGGCAGAGGAAGCAGGCAAGAGTAGAGGAAGAAAGGAGGTCGGAATCAGGCCCATGTGAGCAGAAATCTCCATGTTTCTTCTCCCCTAGCTGTCCATCAGCGCATACCCCACATACACCCTCGCAGGACTCGCAATGTCCCAGCACGGTGCCCTGGTTGATCTGCATCACAGGCTGGGAGAAGCTCCTGTGACTCACTCGCTTCCCCTACATACCCACAAGGCATCCTACTTCAGCTTTGTGACAGGTTTCTTTCTGCTTTTCTGTGGAAATTATACTTGTGGTTCCTCCAGACATTATTTACAGCTGTCTAATTTTTTCCCTCTACCTCCAAGCTGCCAAACTAAAGTAGATGGGGAGCAATTTTCCCTCTCTGGGTCAATGAACACCGCCTCCCCTCCACCCCAACTTTTGAATATTCTACCGTTTCTGCCAAGTCAATTCATCTGCAGAACACTTTTGGGGAAACAAGCTTTAAAAAGAAAAGCAAGCTGCTGTTAGCTCCTGACTGCCTCTCCACAGGAGAGGGAGCAGGGGACGGAAGTTGGGGCTCAATTCATGTGTGCTGTTTAAACGAAATCTGTGTTGTTTTTCTGCTTTTGCCTTGGTTACCTCACATCAAAGGCATCTCCTACCTTCTCCCCCGCAACCCAGTTCCTCCCTTTCAGATGTCCTTCCTCTTCAATTTGAAGCTTTCTCTAATATGATTTCTGAGAACTACTTTGGAAAAAGTGTTACAGATCTCTGCCAGTGGGACATTACTTCATTAGCCGTAAAAACCAAACATAAAAGACTGTCTGAGGACACCTGCTCAGAGCATGTTACCCACATCCCAACCACTACCACACTGATCCCATGAGACACATACCACTATTAGGCTGGGGGCAGGGTCCTTCCTAAGGTAAACTCTATTATTATGACCCTCTGGGGTTAGGCTTTATAATTTTTTTTATTTTGTTGAGTCCCGTCTTTTGTTCCACTACTTTCCCATTACTCCAGCCTTCTAACGCCTTCTGTATATTTGTTGTTTATTAATTTATTTAACTAAGCTTAATTGAGCTCTTACTATGAGCCAGACACTGTTAGGTGCTAGCAATATAATTGTGAGCAAAAACAGTTAAGAGCCCTGCCTTCCAAGAGGATGCAGTTTATGAAAGAATACTACCATACAGTTTGGGTTCTTGTGTTTGATTGTTATTATTTAAAAAAAAAAAAAAAAAAAAAAAAAAAGCAAAACGTCTCTGAGATATTTAGTATTAGAAGAAAAGTGCTTATCTAGAAGAAAAAGAAAAGACAAGTGGGGAGCATTTGCCAGATGTAATTATAATTCAAGAGAATGACTTGAACATTTTCATCTCCAGGAAAACGAAACATCACTGACTTCACCCCAGACAACAGGCAGAGAGGTCTTACCAGTCCAGTACATACAAGTGTGTCAGGAAGAAAAACATAGCTCTACTGGGATTGGGTTAAATAAACGGAGAACTTAAGTTTAAGTATAAATGGGTATGGAAGGAAACACTTCTTGTGGCTAATAGGCTCTCTATGAGCTTAAAAATAAAAGACTTCTTGACTTTTGAAAATACACAATCTTTGCCTTGAGAAGAGACATATAGTAGAATAAATGAGGTCAGTTTGAAGCACATCAGCTGCACACCTTCTGTTGCTAGAAGCTGGTTAAAAGGCAGTCTGGTTGGCATTTCTGTGCAAACTCAGCGAGTCAAGAATGAACTTGAGTGCCTCACTCCCAGAAGTGATAGGAACTGGGTGTGTCCCGAAGATGCTGCAATCTGATTCTGGGAAGGGTGGGAAGAGAGGCCACTGAGGAAAGTTCTGGAGAAAGTTATAAATGACTTTCCTTCTTAGCTATGAGAAAAATAAAACAATGGGTACACAAGGGCAGATGAGGAGAAGTGTGAGGAGATGAGATTTTTTTAAGGAGCTTTGGCAAACCCACTTACAGCTTAATCTGATGCTCAAATAAAGCACTTTGCCTGTATTTCTAGGTATGGAAGAAGAGAAAGAGAAGCCTAAACTGGAATGAGATCTAAGCCTAAATGGAAGAACTGGAGTGAGCCACCAATGAAGACTTGTTTACCCCTTGGCATTGGCAGTGCCAGAGAGAAGCTTTAAAGAAAGCAGCAGCAGCAGCTTCCACCTCCCTAGCTCTGCCCCAAAGGAAGGAATATGAATATATATATGAAAAAATATACATAACTTTATGTCAATTGTTTCCAAAATAATTTGCCCTCATATTTTAAAGAATTCTCTCCAAATTTATTATTAACAGTAACTTTTCTTCTCTCTTTCTTTTTCTCTTCCTTTTCTGGTTTTTAAAACTAAAATTGATCCTTGGTTTTTAAATTTTGCAATTGTAATTCCATTTAATCAAGGAAGAATAAAATTCTACTGCGTTTCTTGTTCAGAAATTCATTAGAATCAAAGAGACAGATGTAGATCAAGACATTAATATATTTAGTCTAAAAGATGGTTTTAATAATGAACCTGAGCCACAGTGTAAGCTTGAGCAGAAATATGATTGATTTTCCTATTGGAATAAAGTCATAGTTGCCTCAAACAGGCAATGTTAATAATAATTACACCAGTTTCGTCAAAACTCTGTATTTGGATCTCATGATTTAATCTTGTAAAACTTTTCCTATATTCAAACTACAACTTTAATAAAGACAAACCAACCCCTAATCTGATATCTGCATGGTGCATCTCAAAATCCTAATAACATTGGCGTCTTCATTCTTATTTTGTTTCTCTTACCTGTTGGAGATAGGTTTGTTAAACCTGATTCATGTCTACAATTTTCTGATTTTAAAAGTGTGTATCCTTATGATAATCCAGAAAGTATAATTTTTGGAAAAAAAAAGCTAATTTACAAAGTTTGATAAGAATTATGTTTAAAGTAGAAAATAGGATGTTATTTAAATCAGAAATATTAGTTAATATAAATATAGGTGTTAATTGCTAATAGAAATCAACAAATAACTCCAAATTTTTTGTTAAATTTTAATTGGTAATATAATTCGAGAAATACCAGAAATCTCTCTCTCTGTCTCACACACACACTCAGACACAAATATGCACACTCACATAGGCACATATACATACATTCTTTTTGCTCTTCTTTCTTGTCTGTAACCATTTCCTAAGTCAGTCCTATTGTTCCCATTGGTCGCTGGCAAGGGCCCAGTACCCACCTGAAAGGAGGAGAGAGAAGTTGCTAGGTTGCTCCTGATAATTTATTTACAGATAACAAAAAAATAAATATACTTAGTAAGTGTGTATGTAACTTTACAGTACAGATATCTAATTTTTAATTTCAACTTAAAAGAGAGCATTTCCATTAATAAATATGATTATGTACAAAACTCAACACATATCATAAAATAATATGGAAGAACTCCAACCAAACATGTCTGTTATAGCAATAAATATAAATGGGTTAAACTCACATCAAAAAGAAACCACAGCTGTTGAGCCTATTCCAACTCACAGCGACCTTTTAGGACAGAGTAGAACTGTCCCATGAAGGTTCGAAGGCTATAAATCTTTACAGGACTAGACTGCCACATCTTTCTCCCTAAATTCACATATTGAAAGAAAAATCATTTCAGATTGGATTACAAAAGAAAACCCAACTCTATGCTCTATGTTGCAAAAAAGCACATACACAAAATGAAGTAATTACTAAAGATTAAAAAGAAGATAGGCAAAAGAATACCTGAAAATTTTGAACAAAAAGCAACAAGTGTCATGATTTTTAGTATGAGACAGTGTGCAACTTGAGCCCAAGTCTATTTCATGGTGAAGCCCCCTCCCCCCGTAGTTATATGCCTAATTTCTGAAAGCATAGTTTAAATAAATATATAACACATCTATAGAATTTTCACATTGGTTCCCTGACTCTTATGTAGGACTCTTATGTAGGAAAGTGCAAGCAGAAAACCACCAACACAGAAAGCCAAAAGTAATACCACATCTTTGGAATAACTGCTGCAATTGATATACTATCAAAGACTTAAAGGATGCAGAGTTGGTGGTTCCAGTCACAACTAAACTTACTGTTTGAACTGTGTACAAAAGATTCATAGATTTGGAGAATGATAATGAACTACTGGTAAACTTAATCAGGTGGCGTCCCTGATTAAGGCTCTTGTAGAAGAGTCCTTTGTTCCAGGAGTAAATCAATACAGTTCCTGGGATATAGTATGAGGTGGAGGGGGGAGGGGTTGGACTTCCCTTTACCTTGCAAGGAAAGAGTATGCCTGCATTATCTTTTCTCGGGGCTATTTCAATTTTGGCTTTATATCATAATTTAGTCCATAGCAGCCTTGATTGCCTCATCATCCCATAGGACATCAAGCTTCTACTACCTTGATTGTATCATGCTGCTTGGACTAGTGAGGAGGATACAGCAAGTGCCCTAAATATATTGTTAAGACACATTGCATGCCAAAGAACAGTAGATAAATGACCAAATAAATAAATAATAGAAGCCTGCCACGTTCATGAAATTTCCACTGCCAGTGATCTGAGACATGTCAATGTATACCCTGTAAGATGAAACCAGAGACCCTGGGTGGCACAAACAGTTAAGCACTTTAATATTAACTGAAAGGTTGGAGGTTCAAATCCACCCAGAGGTGCCTCAGAAGATAGGCTTAGCTATCTGCTTCCGAAAGGTCACAGCCCTGAAAATCTTATGGAGTAGTTCTACTCTGAACACAGGCCATGAGTTGGAATCCACTCAACAGCAACTAACAACAACAACAAGATGAAATATTATTGCACTTTACATGCCTTACCACTTAGAAAGAGGCACATTGCTTGGTATGTCTTATTGGATTTTGGAGGAAACATGTATCACCTTGTGGGTGTTGTTCTTATTCCTATACCACAATTAGAGAAAAAGAAGTAAATAAGAGCTATAACAATTAAAATGGAAAAGGTAAAACTATCACAAATTTACAGATTAGATGATTTTAAACAAACCAACAAACGGTTCCAATTATCTACAACGGTCAACAAATCACCTCAAAGCCTAGTGACTTAAAACAGTAACATTTATTTTGCTAGTGAATCTACAATCTGGGTAGGACTTGGTAGAGTTTGTCTCTGGTCCCCCCAGTATCTGCTGGGGTGACTTGAAGGCTGGTGGCTAGAGCCATCTGAAGACTCTTTCACTTCCGTGCACAGTTGATTGATGGTGGCTATTGACTGAGACCTCAACTGATACTCTGACCAGAACAACTACACGTGGCTTTTCGGTGTGGCTGCTTGGCTTTGTCACAACATGGTGTCTGGGTATGAGCAGGCCCAGGTAAAAGGTGTATTGCTTTGTATGACTTAGCTTCAGAAGTCACATAGTGTTACTTCTTTTATGGTCACAGACCCACTCAGAGTCAAGGGATAGGAACATAGCCCCCACATCTTGATGGAGGAGTATTAATGTCATAAGGTAAGAAGAACATATGGGATTAGGCTGTATTGATGATAGATTGGTGGCTATAGTTGGAAAATACAATCTGCCATACACACCCAAAGCAATCAACTGAAAAACTAACATAATTTAGTAAGGTAGGAGGGTATAACATTAATATATAGAGATCAATAATTTTCATATATACAAGATGTAACAGAAGATATAATGGAAGGAAAGACCCCATTTCCAACTGCAACAAAAATGAAACGAAGAAAACAAACTAAAATTTCAGTAAAGAAGTAGAAATCACACAAAAAAATCTTAGAAAAATATAAGGAAGAAACTAATAAAATTAAAAACAGAAGTTAATAAGGCAGCAGACAAAACAGTGGAGTTGATTAATAAATCAGTATCTAGTTCCATATAAATATCAACAAAATATACAAACTACTGACATGTTGATTAAAAAGAAAGAGAGCTTCTTCTATAGAATCTTTGATCAAAACATTCACTAATGATAGCCTGGCACTATCCAGTTCTTTTGGTCTCATGGCAAAGGAGACAGTTGTCCATGGAGGCAATTAGCCACAAATTCCATTTCCTCCCCCTATTCCTGACTCTTCTTTTTCCTTTGTTGTTCCAGGTAAATAGAGATCAATTATCATAACTTGCATGCCCACTCCCAAGCTTTTAAGACTCCAGGTACTATACAACAAGCTAGGAGGTAGAACAGAAGCACTAAACACAACATTAGGCCAATTAACTGGATATCCCATGAAACCATGACACATTAGGCCAATTAACTGGATGTCCCATGAAACCATGACCCTAGACCTCCAAACCAAGAATCCAAATCCCATGAGATGTTTGGTTGAACTGATCAAAAGGGGAAAAATGTAGAACAGAAGTTAAAATTCTCATGGAATCCAGACTTTCTGGAGCCATGGAGGCTAGATGAACCCTCAAAACTATTGCCCTGAGATCATCTTTAAACCTTAAACCAAAATATCCCCTGACATCCTCTTAAAACCAAACAATTGTTTAGCTTAACTAGTAAAGAATGTCTAGCTTGAGCATTGTGCTCTTTTAAGAGCTATCATATGGGATCCAATTGACAAGAGCAACTTGAAAGATTAGATAGGAAACTTAGGGGGCAGTAAGTTTATGTTAATGACAGTTTGAAAAGGGAGGATGTGAATGGTTGCACAACTTGAAAAGTGTAATCAATGTCACTGAATTGTACATGTAGAAATTGTTGAATTGATATATGTTCTGCTGTGTATATTCTCAACAATAAAAACAAAAAAAGATGAAATAAAATCTTTTAAAAATGTCAAAAGAGAGAGACAGAAACACAAATATTTGACAATGTGAGCACAGATGTAAAACAAATTTTTTTATTTTAAAAATATGTTTTATAGCTCTATGGTAACAAATTCTTAGAACTCAGTGAAATGCGCTATTTTCAAGGGAAATGGTCTCAATAAGAATTAGAAAGCCCTAACAGACTGATATTCATGGAGAATGTTTTTCTTTTTTTCATTAACAATATATTATTCTCACAACTTTATTTCTTTTTTTCATTATTTTATTTTATTATTGTTGTGATTTAGGTGAAAGTTTACAGAGCAATTAGTTTTTCATTAAATAGTTAATACACAAATTGTTTTATGACATTGGTTGCCAATCCCACAATATGTCAGCATTTTCCCCTTCTCCATCCCAGTTTCCCTGTTTCCTTTCGTCCAGTTTCACGGAGGACTTTTTTTTTTTTTTTAAATGCTCCTTAAACTATCTCCAAAATAAGAGTTGGATCAGCAGTGTTTTATGAGCAAGTTCTTGAAAACTTTTAAGTAACAATTCTCATGTTATTTAAATTGTTCCAAGGTTACAGAATAAGAAGCTGTCCAAATTATTTCTCAAAATTAATATACCCTTCAGATAAAATTCATGGTAACCACAAAGAAAGTTAACAAACATACTCATAAAAATAAAGAGGAAAAACATAAAGTCTAAGCAAAAACAAAACCTGCAAAAACAAAACCTACAAAAACAAAAGAAATGAAAAAAAAAAAATCCGCAAAAGTAACTCAGCACAAGAGAGTAAGGAGAACAAAGAAAATGTCAGCACCACAAAAAAAGCACTACAAAATGAGAGCAACAAACACATCTATCAATAATGACACTGAATAGCATTATTCACAATAGCAAAACAATGGAAACAACCTAGATGTCCATCAACAGATGAATGGATAAACAAACTATGGTACGTTCACACAATGGAGTACTATGCAACGAGAAAGAACAATGATGAATCTGTGAAGCATCTCATAACATGGATGAAACTGGAGGACATTATGCTGAGTGAAATAAGTCAAT